TGACAGCAACGGTCATAATGCTTATTCCACTTCCCCAGCTGCATGCCAGGGCAAGGCATTGATTTTAGCTCCTCCTTCCTTGATACGCAACTGTTCTTTCAACAGGACAGTCTTTCCGATTTGCCTTTTGAATGGATACCAAAGACAACAGGCTTCTTGCAGAAGACATTCCTGATTCACAGAATCACAGGATGGTTTGGGTTGGAAGGGACCTTAAAGACCATCTAGTTCCACCCCCCCTGCCATGGGCAGGGACACCTTCCACTAGACCAGGTTGCTCAAAGCCTCATCCAGCCTGGCCTAAGTGCTGTTTCTCACATTTAACTTCTTCTAACCCATGGACCACGGTCTCTTCTGGCTGTATAAATGCAGCCTTATTTGAGCCAAAGAGAGAAATACAGGTAGACTTCTAAAGTTAGAAGAGAAAGCAGAAGCCAGCATTGCTGCTACATGGGATGTATCCGAGTGTGCATACACTGTACAGCAGGAGGGAGCTCCTCAGTAGGCTGGGAGACAAATACGCCAGTCACGTAAAGTTTAACAGCAGTATTGCTAGAATTTGGGTTTTCATCAATACACTGCTGAATGTCAGTCTGAATTGCTTTCACTATTTATGATGTTCTGTTCATTTCCTAGGTCGTTCATAATCAAGATGAGTCAAAACGACAGAGTCATTTCATCTTCTTACAGATACGAAGAATTCACCTTATCTGGAAGAGTCAAAGTGTCAAGAACATACTCTACCAGCTATGGAAGAGAATTCACGTAGCTTTCTGTGCTACAGTAAGCTGTCAAAGAGTGACAAATAGCATTAAGTTATCTAAAAATTTGGGTATCAGCTGGGAGATCACAAACTTCATATTTCAGAGTTAAAATTCTGTATTTTTGAGAATAATGAAACAAGGGCTGTTTCTGACAGTAACTTCAATGCAAGACATTGAATACCTATGTATCAGTAAGCTGGAAAACAGTACTGTAAAATCACTTTAGAGTACACTATTAGTGTACAGCCAGGTACAGCTAATGTACAATCTGGCCTTAAAGCAAGAACTGCACGTTTAAAGTCCATTTCACCAGCTTAAAGAAATATTTCTAAAAGGAAATCACAGAGTATTAAAACCCTTCCCCCAAACATGTAACTGAATTTTGAAAAGCAGTTAATTCAAAGACTCCTACAAAAAAAAAAAAAAGTTATATTTTGCTTGGGTGGTAATTACCAGGACAACTCTGCATAGTCTCATCTGGCTATTAGTATACAGACGTTTTTGGCATTGTTCCTACACAGCCACTAGTCGGTTGTTCTCAAAGGTTACATTCTCTTAATACTTAAACAACTTTTTGCTGTTAGAGACTAAAGTCCTTGGTTTTCATGTGTTGTCTTCTAGAGAGCCGTATTATATTACCAGTGATTAGTACACCAAGATGCATGCGGATCACACTGGAATTCTGCTTATGAAATTAAGTTGTAGGTCTCAAAAAAAAAAAAAGGAACTTCAGTGAGTATAACTGAATACTCAACTGCACGCGGTCTGCTTTGTTTTCAAGTATTTAAGCAACGTAAACATGCAAATGTTTAAAACACCGAAGTTGGTTTCTTACGTTCCACACTGAGAATTGCACTGTTGTTACTCCCCGGGGAGTCACATGTTTTTGTAATGTATTATCATTTCAGGAAACTACGTTCTACTAGAAACGAAGACCTGAATGAGTCAGGAGACAGTTAATTTTTTTTTTAAAATCTCTTTTTTTTTTTTTTTTTTTTTAGGAAAAAGTGATGCAGACTAGGTCATCCGTAAAGTTACATTTAGAGACAAACTGCACAGCTGTTTGGACAAACAGGAGAGTAACTCAACCTTGCCCTGAATGTAGGGCGTAACCACAGCACACCCCATCCGTAAGGGACAGAGACATCTCACACAAGAAACAATGCTGCAGATTTATTATCTTTAGAACTAAGTTTTTATAACCCCAACTTTGTTTACCCCATGTAAGACATTTTCAGTAATAAGAGAACCTCTAGTTCAGGTACTATACAGTTGCAAGTAAAACGAGGGACGTGTGAAGTACAAAAAAAATTGAAAATACTAACTTACATTGGGTACTTAAAATACTACTCAAAAAAAAAAAAAAGGCTTTTCAGCTTTTTACCTTTACAGTTTGGAAACCTTCTCTGCAGTCCAAAGACAGGCAATGAATGGAGGAAAAAGCAACTCCAAAGCAAGCGGAATGAAGAAAGAGGCACATTAGTAAGAGAAACAAAGGCAATGCGAATCGGACGAGGAGAGAGAGGCTCCTCCGATGGCAAAGTCTGAAGAAAAACGTTTTGCGGGTGTTTCAGGAGCGCATGCTGCTGCCCATCCATGCCAGCTGGGTACGTGAATCCCACTCCGTACTATTGAGCAGTCTACATTTACACTTGCAATACAGAGAGCACATCTCCCATACAGTACACAGTTCCTTGCCCCAAGGAGCTTACAATCTAAGTTCATGAAAAAAAATAATTCATCAAGTAGCTGGATCAAGATCAAACAAACGGACAAGACAAGGAAATAATTCTGTAGGGGACTGAAGCTGGGCTACATTACTATGTGAGGTAACTTCTGAACATCATCGGCAGCGATGTTCTTGAGACGCAAGTACTTTTTCAGTTAGAAAGCTCTTCTGATCATGAAAAACTGGTTTAAAACGCACTGAAGGATGCATTAAAAGCAATCCACAAAAATTCTTAAAAATAGACTTGTTGGCAAGACACAAAAATGTTCTGATAGCCTAAGTTTTTCACCTGAAACACTAACCTGTAGTCTACCAGAAGGATGCGGATGTTACAGAAATTCGTATGTACACGTCACGTCTGAATGTAAAAGGCATTTATGTACATTTAAGCTTAAAATGTCAAATTCTGATTTAAGAATCCTGCTGCTATAAACACAGGCTTAATACTTAAATGTTAATATGAAAATAGTTCTATTTTAAAATGTATTTTTAACTTTAAAAGAAACTACGGACAAGATGCTGCCGTCAAAGAATGTTGATTTCAAACCAACTGTAAGTGACCCACTTTTTTAAACACTGGTCTTGTTATTTGGCAGTTATAATGGAAATAACTAGTCCATCAACTTAAAAGTCTTGTGGGTTGGTTGTTTTTGGTTTTGTTGGGGTTTTTTTTGCATTTCCCTGGTTGTATGTTATTTATTTTTTAAAGCCAGTGTCTCTCACTTTATCTACCAATTGACAAGACATAGCTGAAATGTAATTTATGTGTAACCTTTATACGGAGCCCATTTAGCTATCATTTCTTAATCCGTTCACATGCAAATCGGAAGCATCTTTTCATGCAACTACAACATTCGTGTCTTTCATACCAGGAAATCCTGTTTTGGATTATATACATAAGCCATCTGCAACGCTTCCATGACATTGGAAAAAAAATTTGGAATAGTCATAGTTAAAAAAAACCCCAAAACGTAATTTTCCAATCTGTACAGGACAAACAAAACCAGAAATACTTCTTTTTCACCTTAACAAACAGGATACCCCGTGGAAAAATCTGACTTGAGCTATCCTTTTGTAAGGGAAGCAGATGTTAAGAGAGTTTCATTTAAGCACAGAAGTGAGACAGTGAGGATAAGGACTGCTAACAGGCGATCCATTTAGTTTTAATTTTGAAAGGTACTCACAAGGAAATCAAACCAGAAATGAAGACTAAAGAACTATACATTTCTTTGACTCAAGTCAGCACTAGCATTTACTTCTCAGGTATTACAACTATATTAAATTTGCTTTTAGGAGGATACAAAAGGAGTATAAGCCACAGATTACCAAGAGAGTTTGATCACTTCTGACCATCAGCTAAAAAATGAGGGAAGACAATGGTCAAGGGATTAACTGTTTCTTTTACATGCTACAAAATTAAAATATCCCTGCAGACCTGTAATAAACCCCCCCCGCTGTCTGAATGAGTTTTAATTCCCAGGGCAAAGATGAATCAACAAAATTAAAATATTGTGCTGTTTTATTGGTGTAAAAATCACACAATTGCTAGTTCTGATTCTGCAGAGATACATCCATGCAGTTAAACATCTATGATCCCACAGCCAGAAGAAGCCATTAAATAGAATATCTGCTGTTAGTCAGCAATTAATGCAAATTTACATATGAGATCAAAAGGTGTGTATCATACAATATACAACAAATCCTAATACAGTACATCAACCTGAATAGCAGGATACACTCAGGGAACTCTGTTAATAGTGAAGCCTGTCTATATGCCAGAGAAATAAGGCCTGGAAACAAGATGACAGAAGGTACCCCAGAATTCCTAAGAAGAAAACTGTCTGTTTTTTGTTTAACTTTTTTTTTTTTTTGCTGGGAGTTAGAAGTTCATAGAGGTATTGACACATTACTTGACAATACGATTTGTTATAGTGAAGACTGGTGGACATGATCTGTTATTAAAAGATAATGTGTGAAACATGCAGTTACAGGTGGTGCTTAGGCAATGTATAATTAGTATGTTGGGGATTTACACCCAACTCTTTTCACAAAAGGGAGGACTGAGAAGGGCCTGTTTGACAGACTACCAATTGTACCATAAACCTTCGTATGCATGCGGCTGAATCACGATCATGAACGGATAAAATGTGAACACCTGGCAATCTGTGGTTACATACTCTGTAATGTATGCAACAAACACACAATCAAATCCAGCTGATATGGCAAACAGCCTGCAAGAACTCCGTCAAATAAGTTGGTTTATTACGAAGAAGCAGGCTTTCTAGGATTGTGAACAACTTTCCAATTGTGAAAGGCAGCTTGGGACCTAACACTGGCTGATGACAGATTACTGGTTTTTGTCTTTTCTGGCTCAAGAAAATACATGCCACAGTGAAATAAGAGTTTATGTGCTTAAAGTCAACTGATTAGCAATCCTCTTCTGCAAAGATGTTTCAGTGGGGGGGGAAAAAAATAACCCAAAACTACTAAAAAATTCCAGTTGGAAATTTTGGCGGCAAACTCTGCAAACCTAAGTCCAACAAAGATCACGGATGCCCACAGAAAGTGATGTGAGAGGCAGTGTCACATTCGAGGAAAAATGTTGGTTTTTTCTTTTTCTCTGTACTGAAATTAAAATACTTAAATACAAAAGTGAACAAATTGACAAAACAGAACCACAACATTTAATGTAAAATACAGTGCACTGAGCTAGATGCATGGATCTTTAAATAGGCTTTGAAACCAATACCCCTTTCAAAATTAGTAAATTCACAGTTAACGGCAGTAGGCTTAGAGGTGAGAGAAGGGTCGAAGTTGTTCCAGTTGGACTTCCAGGGAGATTCTCTCTTCAAGAACATCCTACAACAGAAAGATTTTCTATTGACTGTCTGAGAACAAGTATTAAAAATCTCCTCACGCGCTCAAAACCGCTAGATGTCAGCTTCAGTACTGAGAACAAACGTCCGGGTCTTCTCTAGAACCTGGAGAACTCTTCCCACAATCCGAACGGAAGACTGGCTGACTGGTAATTACTCATAAATGAAAATCAATACCTTGCTCAGAGGTGAAGCCATTTAGTATTTCTTCATTCCTTTAAAATCACCCAAAACCACAAACTCCAACCTGCTGCCAACCCAGCTATAGTATTTTCAAATGAAGCCTATAGTGTTCAGGGGGTAAAAGCTCTCATCTCAGTTAAAGGATTTGAAACTCAATTTTACTCCCCCCAGTTTTCCCTCTTCTGTTAATTTCATGCACCTTGACTCTCAAGCGCTAACAACAGAAATTCAGGTTTACAACTTTTAAGATGGCCTACCTCCCAGTACCACATTAATTCATGTTTACATTTAAGATTTTATTAACAACTTGATAATTGATCTCTTAAGGGAATGAAGATGGCACGTGAAAGATGTTAAGATGGTGGCTACACATAAATCCAAAACTATAATAGCTGACCTAGACAAGCAGATGACTATTGTTGTTCTTAAGCTGCAAGTTCTGTATTCCAGATTACTATATTTGTTTAAACATATTTACAATTCTACAAAGACCTTAAGGTTTGCTTTTTCCTTCAGGAAGCAGGCCACTTCTGCTGCTGTTCTCAATACTGCTTTTAAAGTATCGGATGACCACAACAGCTACACTGAATAATTAATACTAAATTAAAAATTTCTGATTTTTATGTTTTCAGCATAGCTGGAAGAAAATCAATATATTGAAAAGCATGTTTTGTAGTAGTGTCCTTTGGAATTCCACAAAGCTTGTCACAATAGGTATATTCTATGATCTATAAAAACAACTGAATATTTTATACCATTACCCTCTGCTATGTGTATCACTGGCTTGCAGGGATGCCTGTTACTGGGCATCACTGCCATCTTGCCCTCTCAGGCTCCTCCCTTAAACAGACAAAGATTAGGGAATTACCTTTAGTTGCTGCTGTAGTTCACTATTCAATCTGGCCAAAACAGTGTTGGTTTCCTTGTTACGTCTGATTGATGCCTGAATTGCCTTCTTGTCTTTCCCCACTGACCTGGGAATATATTAGAAGTACTGTAATAAGTAATTTTGTTGCTTAACTGAATCTCATTTATCGTCCCTCTTTTTTAAATGAGCAGAATCCACTTTTCAAATTTTTTTAACTCGTTACACTGTAATTTTCCCTCTTCTGCTTGGCTCAATTGACCTTGTTTGTCTGCATGGAATCCACTTATACGTGGTTTCAAAGAAAGAGCATTTCAAAAAACTCGTCAGAACCAATTTTCTGAAGTCCCAACACACCGTACCACATTCATTTACCCCGAAGTGACTAATGTAATAGCCTACTTTCACGCTACGACACAAATACTATAGATCTTGGAATGTTCACAGAGCCCATTATTTAAAATCAAAATCTTCATACTTCCACCATACTTGGTCTGTCAGTAGTAGAGGCTTCGGGATTATCTTGTTTAAAAACCAAAAATCTTTAAACTGTTAAGTTAATGTAATTCAAACACACTGAAATTGTTGGCAACTCCTAGAACAGAAACTGTGTATGCTGTTCAAATGTAAACTTTCCAGTAACAGATGTATTTATACACTTCTTGGGTTACCTAGGAATAGATGGCTGTGAAGCAAGAACAGCAGCTATGACACCTGTTTTCTGTGTATGTTCCTCAGCTTCAGGTCTTAGCTCATCTTCTGATTTTAATCTTCTGCGAATAGGCTTTGGTGGTGGAGCAAGTGGGGTAGTGCCTTTACCCTGAAGGGGAAAACACAGCCTGTTGATTCTCACAACCTGCATTTTACTTGGATTATAACCTGGTACTTTGTGTTACATATTCTCAAAACCAGTTACTGAGCTAACTGAATTTACAGCCTATCAGGTATTTTCTGACAGACATCTGGCTGCGTTCTCGTATGGTCTGGGAAAAAAAATTAAGTACTAAATCCTACCCCTTGGTGCCCAGACCACTGAGTTCCTACACACTGACAAAGACCTGTGCAAGCGGAAACACCATGGTACAGCTGACAACTGCAAATAAACAACACCTCTGAGCATGCTTCCCCCCAGTGACTACGTGTCTGTAACAAAACCAGCTGCTGTTAACCAAGTTCTGCACTAAAAGTTTTGCTGTTTCAGAAATTCAAACACTTAAAACTATCTTAATTTTCTGCTATCCCAAAAGCTAATCACGTACATCATGTGAAGCAAACATTCACCACAAATTTGCCTATTTCAAGCACATACTGGACCTAAGAAAACTGGGTTCAAGTGGAAGTGTATAAAGTGGCTGTTGCAAACCAAAACAGTTGTGTAACTTCAAATACATCAGACAACTGCATTCTCCTCCCAAGTGTACTTCGCATACCGCACTAGCGGGGACATTAGCAGGTGCTTTGTCTTCAACTCTTCCATCCGCTTTGGCAACTCTAAGAGAACTTGCAGAATCAGAGGGCTTTTCAACCTAAAGGGATACAAACTATGTTTAGAATGCTACTAATTAACAAATAAATAATTTGGCAACAGTTGGATTAGATGGAAGTATGCTGTGCTTCTGATACATGAATACAGTTAGCGCAAAAATTCCAGTTCCAGTCTTCTTCAGAAGCACAGGCTGGAACACAACAATACCTGCTTTGGAACAAAATCATCTAAAACTACCTTAGTCACAAACACTGTTTTGTGAGCAGCTTACAGAAGAGGCACATTGTAAAAAGCCATACTGTCTTTTGACACAGAAACCAAGATTCTGTACAGAATCTAAAATAATTACGAAAAAAAAAAGACAAAATAATTATTTGAAAATACTCTGCTTTGCAGCATTGTACTCTGGACGCAAGAAGAGCTCTGAATAAAGTCAAATCCCCAGTGTTATGAGGCACTGCAGAAGTACAAAAGAGACTGTGGCCTGACAACAAACTACTACAGCTGTTTCTGCCATTACATGACCACTGTTATCTACCTGTTACTGCCAAAGCTTAATCCCTTCCATGGGACAAAGTGCTGATAGTTGGGAGAACTTCAAAGCATCACAGGTACATTTGCAACTGAGGATGCAGAAGTGCCTCAGAGAACTTAAAATCTGGATGAAGGCTAAAAATTATGCAAGGAAGACACAAAGTAACTCATGTAACAGCAGTAAGCTATTATGACATTAATAGGAATAAATCCTGAGGCTTATGAACTTTTAGTCCTGTGTTTGTAGTAAGAAACAAGGTTTTGTAAATATCTGAAATGACCTATTACAGAAGGATGCCAGAGCTCTGTTCACGTCAGCTGTTTGTCCAGTGGCTTCGAGCAAAACCAGATTACTGGAGTTTTAGCAGATGTTTACAGCACTTGACAGTCATCTCGTTTATTAAGACAGACCACTTTAAAACTTACTAGTAAGTCATTTGGAAGGCTGGTAAAAGTGAGAAGAAAAGTTTTGCCCATGCTAAGTCTTAAAATGCACCAACACAACTATGTTTGTGCACATGTATGCTAATAAGCACAAAATCTTTTAAATTACAATCAAGAACCGAGAAGAAAACATCTCTTCTGCCTAGGTGTTTGGCAGTCACTATGTAAGTGTAACTGCAGTGGCTAACGTAACTGCTTTCTAGCAATGGATTGGGACACCATAAAAAACCAACTGAGTTCAAACAACAGAAGTAGCTTTTAATAAAGTCTCATAACTGTTAGTGGTATTAAGTAACTGACAAGTTCTTCACTTCTACTCACCTGCAAGGCTTCTGAGTGTGTTTCGATTTCATCTTCTTCCTCTTTGTTTACACCTGAAACAGCAAATGCCTCAAACTGGCTGAAGTCTGCAAAATTTGGCTGTTCTGGTATTTGTTGAGGTGAGGTACTGGTATGAGCTATTAGGCCTTCAGCATCTACCGGGCGATGCACATGAGGCCCAGCACCCTGCAAGAAAATCACAAAAATATTTAGCAACACTGTTCTTAACACAGGTATCTGATGCAAAGAATCTTGCCAAACAACAGTTTGTGACAGACATTAGGGATTATTTGCCTTTTTAGTGGAGAAAAATTTATATCCTGTCAGGAGGACAATGTGCATCTCATCCAAGGCACAGACAGACAGACCACACTGTGTTTATAAACAGGGGTATTTAAGAGACAAGGAAGTTCAATTCGATGTCCTATTGTCCAGAGAATGAGACCAAAGATGGATGCACCACAGGACTATCTAGACTCACTGGACAGTAGATGTTTCTGCTGTAACACAGTCCACCTCGGCCCTGCCAGGCTGGATACAGACTTTTAGCCTAATTCCATAGGGAACATGCTTATGTGATCATACTGTATGGAATATGGCTGTCACTGTACCCTCTTTTCTAGGTGATAATTTCTGGATCCGCTGACCGAATTCAACTGCTGGTAACTCGGATTCTAACAAGAAACTGCTGCTGAAAAACAACTGAAAATCAATTTTATATGTCCCATGTCAGATCTGCACAGCAGTTGAAGGATTCAGCTGGTTGAGACAAAGAAAAAACAACTTTTCCAGATTTTGGTTTCTACCAAATCAGCTAACTGAACTGACTCAGACCAGGACTGCAAACATCATAGAATCATAGAACGGT